TCATAGTCCGTCTGCTATTTCTGGTGGTTTCTAATTAATTGGACAGCTGTCCGGCTAAGCCGCCGCATATGGATACCACATACTCTCGTCCACCGGCCACCCACAGCTCAGTGCTCCAGGCAAAGTTGGTTCCAGCCGATTGGAAATGGGGTTTTGTGCTCAATTAGCCACTGACGTTCATTTGGGCCCCAACTTTTTGATGATGACTAAAACCTCAAACCCTTTGGCCTTAATTTAACTGAATGGCAATGGCAATGGCGCTGACTTTTATTTGGACATTTGTGTGACGCCATGGCGTTTAATTAATTGTATTCCGACATGCAAAACTGTCGAAAATTTCGCTCGATCTCATGCAAATGCCAGAGGTCAATGGGTGAAATAGTACGCGGCGCTCAATGAGCCAAAAGAAGTCCGCCGCCCAATCAGGACGGGGCAGACTCTAGCACTGATTGCATTCTAGTACGAGTATCTGGGCTGTTGCAGCAATTTGCTTTACCTGGTTCGGCAAACAGCCGAACGATTAATTAAAAATTCAAATGACTGCAACTGAAGGTAAATAGATATTGTGAAATAATCGGACTGCCTGGGGAAGGGAGGCAGGCAAATCAAATGAATGGATGGCAACCAAGGAGCGAGCGAGCCATTGCATCGACCGATTGAACAGGGGAAAAGCTACTCCTCTGAATAAATGCGGCAAGGCGGTGGGGGAGGAGGAAGAGCAGGAGAAATGCAAACTTTTTCGACGTCATTTTTAATGAATTTTCAACAAAATGTGCCAAACGTGTTGAGCGCCGCCCGTCATGGCACCCGGGTGCATGGCAGGGGGCGGGAACTAAAGTAAAAATTGCAATTAAAATTACCAAGCGAATGCCGCAGTCGTAGCACACGGAGAACTGAGCACGGAGCAGAGCCAAGCAAAAGCACGACACAACGATCCCAAAAGTACGGGGAAGAGAACTCGGCCAAATTGATAATAATTTGCATATTGATTGAAGGGAAAGCAAAATGCCAAAAAGAAAGTGCTCTGAGTGGGTGTAATTAAAAAAATGTTCACTACGACGACGACTTCAACGGGGACGGCGACTGCGACCTAAGGTCAATCAATCGAGACTAATGGAAAACTGTTGCAATGGCGAATACATTCTCTAAGCTGTTGTGCCATTCTTGGAGCTTCGAGCTTCAAAATATGTGCATAAAGCATCCCGCATTCAAAGTTTAGCTGGAGCAAAAAAGTGCGTACAGAATTCCAAATTAATTTTCCACGACAACTTTTCAACCACTCGAAGAGGAAAAGCCAGCGCCAGCGCCACAGCTCCGCGAAGACCACACAGAATTCCCATTCGCATTTCCCACTGGTCCATCATACCCTGTAGAAGTGCTTGCCCAAAGAGTATACGGGATTCCTTTAGCCATCAAAGGAGTAAATCTTCCAAAGTTCTTCCATGCAAATTCCTCCTTGTACGAGTAGAATTAAGTGGTTTAGCAGAGGGCATGGCCTGGGTCCAGCAATCCGGCAGTTGTTTCGCCCTGGGTCTAATATTATTTGCAACAAACAAAAGCCAACCCATGCCTTGGCATCTCCTGTGGCTACCAGACCCAGAGCCAAAATCAACTTCTGCAGCTGACTTTTGAGCGAAAACTTTTGCTTAAAGCTGTAAAAGCGAATGGATGGCTGATGGCCAAGCTGCCGGGCTGAGTTCCTGGATAACTGGCCGGCTACCGGCTGCCGGTTGCCAGCGCGCCTGCCTGGCAACGAGGGCCGCAAATCTTAAGTGAAAATAAATAATTCACACCTGCAGCAATCTAGGGAGCCTCTGTTCGATGCTGGGGTAAGGCAGGGAAGGGCAGGGCAGGGCGGGGCAGGGCAGGGCATACATAGATAGACATACAATTACCAACTTGTGGTGTAAAACTTCAGTTTCGAACTCTTGGGTAAATTGCGGTTTAAACTTGAAGCCGGCAAAGGTAACGAGAGCAACGAGTGGGAGTGAGCCACCAGTGACCGATCCCGGCGGGGAGGTGGCACAATTACGCCATTAACATTAACTAAAGGCAGTGGCAGTGGCAGTGGCAGAGGCGGGTGCGGTAAGAGAAAGAAAAGCTGGGGGAAAAGCATGGGAAATACACTTGCACAGAGGAAGAGGCAGAGGCAGCAGCAAACAATGCCAGGAGCCAAAAAGTTTTATTTTCTAAGAAATTAAGACTTAATTGGTAAAAACAGCAACAACAACGAAACAATAAAGACGGAGGACAAGATATTGAAGGGAGGTTGGACAGAGTGAGGAGGGAGGTGGCAGGGGTCGCCTGGAAAAACCAACATCAATGAAAAGTTTAAGCAAAACAATAGCAGGCAAGTAAACAAAGTCGATGGATGTTGCCTGAGTGCCCTCTCAGCCCTAAAGAAGCTGAAAAGCCACCATCGATGTGTACTACCAGTGGTACGTACGTACATATGTATGTATAATCGTACCTACATATATACTGACTCACACAAAAGCCAATGCCTTGTCTACACTATACACTCGAGGAAAAATTATATCTATTTCCAGTTTTATATATATTTCCATATGAATTCAAAGTTGAGAAAAGCTAAATTGTATACTTTTCAACTTTTGAAATGAAACCTTAAGAGTAGTTTTCTTCTACACGTTTTCTCTGGGTTTATTCAGCAATATATTTACGTGTCTGTGAGTCTTTTGTGTGATTGTATAAAGTAAGAAGCTTTTACTGCTCCGCTAAGAAGTGCTCGGCAATAGTTGTTACTCATACGCCATGTTTAACACAGAAATAATATCGACAACACAAGAAACCAATAAAGCGAACACAACTAAGACAGCCGCTCAAGTGAATTCGAGACAATTGAAGAGTACTCCAGCCATAATTATATCAAAAAATATATATATTTGTATGTATGTCTAGGAGAAATAAAAACGCGAGGCAAACATCAGCCAGTCAGCAAGTGAAAAAGCCACCAGCCAAAACAAATAGACGTTGTTTAATTATTCCACAGAACAGAAAAAAATACGTCTGCACTCCGTCCGGAGTCCAGAGCGAAAGACGGCAAATTAAAGACATTAAAACTTTTAATAGCTTAGGCGGCCTTATCGAGGCTGACACCAGAATACCAGAGAGAGAGAGAGAGTGGGAGAGCGGCAGGACGACAGCCACAGACATGCAGAGACAAGAGACAAATTAAAACATGTCTTACAGGCACAAGATATAACTGAATAAACAGCCAGGGCAGCAATAAGCAGAGCAAACAACGATACCACAGTAAACGAACATTAATAATATCAGTCAGCAACTGGCGGCGTAATTACATTCGGATTTACAGAACTCTCAGGGATTTTACCTGGAACTCAAAGCTCTATCTGCCTGTATTTTAAATATTTCAAAAAGATCGGATTAGATAAAGCTAGAAAGTTTCAGGGTTTTTCAGATGTAGCAGCGGAGAATTTAAGTACCTTCCAGCTGAATTGAAGAACCTATAGTATGGGTAATGTCCATTTGCATAGCGCATACGCACTGCTGCCCAAGAAATAAAGTTGCAATACCAATTTTCCGGCCCTAGGCCTCATTTCTTTCATTTGTTTTTCAGCTGGCAGCCACTGAAAATGCGGTCATGTTGTCGTTGTTTATGGGCCACATAAAATGGGCGGCACAAGTAAGTAATAATCGCCAGCATTTGCCATATTTCACAGGCAAATAAACTGCTTTGCCAGTGGGTGGGTGTGGGTGGACCAAGGTTAGGCAACCGAAATGTCATTTAGCAATTACATAACCAAGCAAACTGCCGTAGGGTTGAGGGTTGGGGGCTTTCTCATTTAAGTATTTTCGCAAAAAATCTCTCGCGAACATTGCGCAATGCTCGGGCCAATGGCAATGCCAATGCCGGGCAATTTCACATCAAATTTGGCGTCAATATCAATTACCAAAACGAAGGCACGTCAACTGTCCGGAAATGAAGGCATTTGTCAGGGCTTACAATGGGCGGCGGGTATTCCAATTCGAATACTGGAACTGGCGAATAATTGCAAAACTAGCAACATCCTCCAAAAAATAGGAGAAGGGGAACGTGACGAGACTCCGGACAATGCCAATGCCAATGCTGCCTTGAAAATTTATCTGCGTTCAATTAAAAACTTTTCAAATTTCAATTAAATGTGAAATTGGCATATTTAGCCGAGACGCTTGACGAGTGAGTGAGCGAGCGAGCGAAGGAGCCAAAGAAGGACGACCGAACCGGACGAAATGGAATCAAATCCTGGGAACGAAAGGGAAAGGCAAACGACCATGAAGAAGCAGGAGAGAGAGAGAGCCAAATGACCATTTACCATTCAGCATTCACCATTCGGCTGGCATAACTAAGCCTGGGGGATTATTTTGTCAATTTTAAATGTCCTGCCATTTACAGCATTCAAATTCAACTCGCCTTTGTTATGCCCCTTATGCCCCAGCTTGTTGTAGAAATGTTTATGAAGCAATTAGGGGCTCTGAACTGTGAACAATGCGCCGAAATGACTGCAACGGAAATTTAAAGACCCCCAGAACTCCCATACCCCAAAATCCAAGTGGCAGGGGCAGGGGCAGGGGCAAGCAGGAAGCCGAGGCATAGTCCTTCCAAAGCATCGAAAGGGTTTCTGTTTTGGCTTTAACCATTGTGCCGGCTCATCGTGACTGCAAAAAGATTAAAATCTTGTTACGCCTTTGCCTGATTCGGGCCTTTGTTGAGGCACAAAGATGACTGGCTGGTGGCCGATGGCTGATGGTGTGGCTGGCTTTCAATTTTGGGATCGGACCACCCTGCTCTGATCCGCCCTGCTCCGCCTTGGAGAAGTCAACTTTCCATGTTTTTACCATGACTGCCTGGCCATTATCTGGCTCAGCTGCTGCTAGCCACACTTGATGTTGGCTAGTTTTTCCCGCTGAACCTTAACACGTGTTTTGGGCAAGCAATGGGGGGCAGGGACGGGCTTGGTGGGTGAAAGATTTCATCTTACCTTGGCGCGGATTTGGGCGAGCACTTGGACAATGTCGCCGCGCTGACACGCATACATAAGAGTGCTGCAGCCCTCGGCGAGACGTCTTTTTATGGCCGACGACTGTGACACTGAATCCTGCCTGAATCCTGGTTCGACCACTGGCACTGGCTCTGTTTCTGGCACGTCCACTCCAACTTCCGCTGCCGCATCCGTGTCCGCATCCTGGCTGTTGCTCGGCATAGCAATGACTTTGTCTGGATGCCCCTGCTGCTGCCTCTTCTGGTGGTGGTGGTGCTGCTGTTGCTGCTGCCTGGCGCGTGTTCGACGTGGCAGTGGACTCTCGAATTGCAAATGCTTTTTCGCGGCCTTCAGACGAGGCGGTTTGGCCGGTCCCTGTCCCTGTCCCTGCCCAGTGCCCGACATCGTCACGCGCTTCACTTCCGCTTTCGGACGCTTCTGCATCCTCTAATGCGGTTTATATTTGTGTTTGTTTCTTTTTCTGCTCCTTTTGCTCTTGGTAAGAGTATACTTGTCTTTGTGTTGGCTGTCGATGGTTTTTTCACTCATTTTTTGCTGCTTTGATGCATTTTCGGGTCCTTTCTTCGAAGTTTAATAAATTGCCACTTGGTTAGTTTGCCCCACAGCTTGACTGCCGGCTGCTAGCTGTTGGATGCCTGCTGAATGCCACCGCCTATGTATAATTAAACACTAATTTGTTTGCTCACAACTGCTTGGTTATGGTTTCGTCGATGCGGGTTCTTCTTGCCGCCGATAGTTTGCGGTGGACGTTGACAGTTTTGCTAGTTCAAAGTAAATACATTTTGGGCTTTTAAGCGTAAACGGAAGAGGGCGGAAGTGCGCGTACAAGGAAGAAACTCTTCGTGTCGCTGGCGTGTGTGTGCTAATATGCGCACGGCTTTCAGTCGAACGCCTTTTAAATTTTCCGCAGAACGAGGAAACGGGAGTAACGCGGTCGCCAAGCCGCGGCAACGGGCTCGTCAATAATTAATTTCGGTTTTTATCAAAGAGTGAGCACCGCGAGGGACAGAGGGATACACATGCTGGCTGCCTGGGGAATAGGTCGAGTCGACAGCGAAATAGACAGCGAGAAGCTCGAGCCCAAGCTCCAGCTCCTGCTTCAAATCCCCACCCAGCAGAACCACTCCACACACACCCTCTGTGTGCTCTGTGTCCTGTGTGAGTTCAGTGTGACGGGGGCGTTGACAGGAGCTACGGCATGTCGCGCACTAAAGTATGCTATGAAAAATTCACTGTCCCTGCATTTGATTTAAATTTCCCTTTTTCACACACAAGCGCCGCACATTTCACGCAATATCAAAGTGAATTTTATCTGTTAAATCGCGTGGAAAATAGTTTTCGAAAAATTAAATTTTTTGGTTATTTTTGGCCACAAATTTCTGTAATCATTTCAATGCCTTCAAGGTGCTTAAGCCAAAAGAAGCTCGACGAAGCAGCCATAGTAGCAGCAGTAGCAGAAATCTGCAAAAACCTATCGAACTGATTGCAAAACCAAAATGAAATTATATAAACACAAGAGCGCCAAAGTGAATGGAATTGGGATGGTGAATGAAAGTGGGAATTGGGATGGTGATTGGTGAATGGTGAATGGGAATGGCATTGAGGAAGGCAGGCGCTGCATTGATGGCAATGGCGATTGCCGAGCATTAAACTCGAAACGGCTGCGGCTTATTCCGAGTCTGTTTCCCGGCTTCGATTGTTGCCTTTCAAGCGATTTCCCATCCTCACCATCCTCCGCGGATTTACATTTCATTTGCCGACAAGGCGGCTGGCACTGCCGCTGCCACTGCGTTGGAGTTGATGATGATTTTGGAAAGGTTTACGAGGCGTTGAGCAGCCGCGGCGATGGCGGCAATGGGGCAGACGACGGGAAACGGGCTTTTAATAAATTAATAATAAAAAAATCCAAAAAAGAAAAAGCAGCAGTGGCCAGGGAAATGCAATAAAATGTTACTTTTCTCTTTGCCAGGCAACAACAAAAGGCAGTTTGAGTCCATTAGCCGGGGAGGCCAGAAAAACGATGATAAAGCAATCATCAGAGAAACGAGAAGAACGAATCAAGTTTTTCTCTGTTTTGTTCTTAGGCAATCGAGTACATTTTGGAAATTGAGTGGCATCCTAGAAGTACAAATGGCTCCGGCCTCTGATAATGGAAGTGGGACTATATCTCCGGGGCGCATTCGGGAGCCCTTCTTCACCATTCGGAGGGAATAACATTATTGCAGAATAGCAATTAAACTGCAGCTGGCACACACACACATACACATACACGCAGTCATTACAGAGGTTACAGTTACACAAATACTTAGTCCTCTCTCTCTCTCTCTGTCTCTCTGTGTGGACATGGGCATCATAATCATTAAACTATTTGATGGTGTTGCCATAATTATTCTATTATTAAGTACCACAGCATTTGTCATGCACGCAATGCCAGGAATTTCCTAGGCAATTCCCCCGCCATGTGGCTGCTGCTATAGCTAAAGCTATTGCTGTTGCTGTTGTTGTTGCTGCTGTTGCTACAGTAGTTGTTGCAGCTGTTTATAAATGATTAAGCCTGACCCACGTTGCGCCTGGAGGAACGGAGCTGCTTGCCTTGGCCATGGTCCTGCTGCTGTCGAAATGTATCTTTGCGGGCTCACACAATGTCTGTGATTGTGTGGAGGCGGCAGCCTCAACTATTCAAGTGTGCTGGTGTGGTTTTCCCCCCACCCACTTACTCTGCCACTCTGTGCGTATCTGTGTGGGCTGTGTGGATGCTGTTAAACGCAAACTTAGCCGCTTGGCAAATAAACATTTTAGCAAATTTACTACCAAACTGACAGCTGTCAGCTTTATAACCACCATCAAACAATAGCAACAACAAGCATACGAACAGGAGGAGGATGTTGGCAAAGGTGTGCCCAGACCGCAGCAGTAATAGTATTCGCCAAGAGAACGACAAAGAGAGGAGAGAGAACAGCGACAACAACTAAATACATACACACACACACACACAGGATGGTAGCTAAAGTAGCTAAGCACACAACAACACCACCCTACATTACACCACACACACACACAGGGACACGGGGACACATGGACACATGGATGGGACTGCTGCCAGGCAGTTTCACCCACTTAACACTTCATTGAAAAACCACTCAAAAGCCACTCCACCCACACGAGTGGTGTGGGCAGTGGCAGGAGTAAGCCTCTAGCCTCCTGTACAGCCGTGCAAATAAACGGTTCCGTGTGTGGATTGGATTGTCCTCGACTACCCGGCTATGCGACTATTTTCCCCGTGTGTTTGTGTGTGTGTGTGTGTGTGTGTGCGGGACACTGGAGAAGCTTCAGTCAGTCGCCAGGAGATGGTGCCAGTAGTGCAGCTGCTTTATGATCCGAGTATGGAGGGGGGAGAGAGGTAACGGTAATATTCTCCGTGCCAAAGGCATGCCAGCTAATTTTCCTTCAGCACAAAGCATTCCATCTCTTAGCAGGAGAGAGCCAGCGAGCGTGCGCGTATACTGTCCGCCGTATAAAAAATATACGAGCGAACAACAACAACAACAAAAATCACACAAAATGTTTGACATTTTCCTGAGAAATATGCTACTGCTGCTGCTGCTGCTGCTGCGGTGCGTTTCAGTCTCTGGTTCGGCCATTTCACATGCTCGCCCTTGGGCGGGATAGAACGTCAAGTGCAGATCTGTTTCGTGCACGGTATTCGGGGTTAATTACACACAAATTTTTGCACAGAATTTATATTAAATTAAGAAAACCGAGTTCCTTTGGCACTGGACTGACTGGACGTGTACATGGCCAGGCACACAGGCTCTACTGGAATCCACTGCACAACTGGCTGCCGCCGGCGCACAGGTGTGTCCGTGGCACAGTGTGAGTGCGTTTCGGACGGGGATCCGGCCGGGTGGGTCTTGGTCTGGTTGCTTGCATGAGTGTATGAGTGTATATTGTATGATTGTTTGAGTATGTGTGCTGTGTGGTCGGTGCATGCTCCGTGTTATTGTGTTGGACGCGACAGTTGCCATGGCGATGGACGATGAGCGAAATGGCCACTCGATGGGACATGCGTCGGTGGTGCTGGCTGCTCGGTCCTTTGCGTGTCAGAGTAGTCCAATCAGCGGGGCAAAGTTTACAAAAGTTCGGTGGCATAATTGGGTTAATACCCATGCCTTTTATTGGTTTTCGATTCGATGGAAATCATGGCCGGCTGGCCGCAGTGGCAGTGGCAGTGGGGCACCCAGCACGGCCATGCCCAGTGAGTGCTTAATGCAACATTGGTGCACTTGATTTACGTGCTACAAGTTGTAGTGGTGACGCAAATTGAAATGGCAAACTGTCAGCTACATGAAGCGCTGGCGCTCAGCTGGCTCTGCTGTTCAACTGCCAAAACAAAGGACTTAACTGCTGACACACTGAGGGTTAAACGTTTAAATTTCAATTAAGTCGAAAGCCCCACACACACTCCACTCTCCACACTGAACACTCAACACTCCACTCACTCGAGACCAAGACCCCATCAGCTCCATCAGCTCCATCAGCCCCATCAGCAACAGCAACAGAAAACGTTACAGCTCATAAATTTCTTGACTTGTGTCGGGATGTGTTAGTTTGGCCGACATACTACCACTCGTGGCAATAGCAGTAGCAGTAGCAGCCAAAGCCAAAGCTAGAAAAAATTTACCAGCAGTCGTGGTGCACGTCAAAGGCAGGAGAGCAGAGCTGTGGCAGGGGGAGCAGCAGCAGCAGAAGCAGCAATAACCCTGGCTAAGGCGGCCAGTCACTTAAATGCCCCAGAAATAAACTGAAACTGCACACAATGTGCACAAGTTAAGGCAACTTTTGGCAGCTGCATTTGAACACTCACAAAGGGCAGTATTATGTTACGAGCAGCACGAATATCGGATGCCCTTGCCCCAAAGATAATTGGCAGAGAACTGATGGCTATCCTTGAAGGTTCTACTTGTAACATCAGCTTTGGGAATCATTTCTACAAATTTGTTTGGTATACTCGTAATCCATAAAGATAACTTGAACGAAAAATGCGGTGTACTCTGTGCGGGAGAAGAGCACACTTTTTTGGGGCATGCTTGAGGCGTGGCCACAGCGCTGACATTTTCCGGGCAGCTCGCTGCAGCTCCTTTAATTAAAGTGGAGCAGGCATCCATCCTCTCGCCAGCCACCTTTTTCATGTGCCCCATGATTATCTGGCTGCCCACCTGCCATCGCCCTGCCCACATATGCGTGCTGCGGCTTATGCATTTATGCGACTGAACCTGGCATCTCATTGTGGACTCCTGTACTGGCTTTCCCACCCGTGCCCCTACTTGATGTCCATACCCGTACCCGTGCTAGTACCCGCACCCGTACCCGTACTTGGCTCGTTCCCAGTGCCTTGTGTACTTGTTGATGATGTTCTGGCTAGAGCTGGGGCAGGAGCTGGAGCGCT